CATACGGTATTTGTCTTTTTCTTTCTGACTTACTTCACTCTGTATGACAGACTCTAGGTCTATCCATCTCATTACAAATAACTCAATTTTGTTTCTTTTTAAGGCTGAGTAATATTCCATTGTATATATGTGCCACATCTTCTTTATCCATTCATCCGATGATGGGCACTTAGGTTGTTTCCATCTCCGGGCTATTGTAAATAGAGCTGCAATGAACATTTTGGTACATGACTCTTTTTGAATTTTCATATACCCTGAGAAAACCAGTAGACTTTTTTCTAGACGTTGATAAACTTATTCTGAAATTTACATGGAAAATCAAAAGAGCTAGAATAGCCAAACATTTTTGAAAAAGAAGAATAAAGTTTAGAAGACCCACACTACGTGATTTCAGGACTTATTATAAAGCTACAGTAACCGAGACATTTTGATAGTGTTTATGTAAAAGGTAGGTGGGATAGAGTCCACAAATAGATCCATATGTATATGGTCAATTGATTTTTGACAAAAATACTGAGATAATTCAGTGGGAAGAGGATAGTCTTTTCAACAAAAGGTGTGGGGATAATTGGATATCTGTATGAGAAAGAAAAAAGAACCTTCATTGACCCTTGTCTCATACCATACACAAAAACAGATCTAAATACAACAGTTAAAACTATAAAACTTCTAGTAGAAAACAGAAAAAAAATCTTCATGACTTTGGGGTAGCAAGGGTCTCTTAGGATGCAAAGAAGCACAAATTAAAAATTAAAAATAAATCAGGCTTCCTCAAGATTTAAAACTTCTCCTTGGAAAGACACCAATAAGATGAAAAGGTGAGCCAGAGACTAGAAGAAAATACTCATCATTCAAGTACCTGACAAAGAATTTCAGTCTAGAAGATGTAAAAACAAACAAGCAAACAAAAAAAAGCACCTCTAACAACTCAATAAGAAGATAACAATCCAATAAAAAAGTAGGCAAAAGATTTGGATGGACAGTACACCAAAGAAGATGATATATGAGTGGACAATAAGCACATGAAAAGATTCTCAGCTTCATTAATCATCAGAGAAATGCAAATAAAGCCACGATGCAATATCACTAGACAACCTCTAGAATTGCTAAAATTTAATAGACTGATAATACCAGATATCAGCAAGGATATAGAACTGGAACTCACGGTTGCTGATGGGAATATCAGGTGGTACAACCACTTTAGAAAACAGTTTGGAGGTTTCTTAAAACGTTGACCATACAACCCAACATTCCCACTCATAGATAGTTAACCAAGAGAAATAAAGACACATATCTACACATAGACTTCTACACAGATGTTCATGATATATTTATTTATAATAATCTAAAGGGGGTAAACAAGTAAATGGTAAATTATACTATATCCATACGGTAGAATACTACTCAGCAATTCGAAGAAATAGGCTATGGATACACGCAGCAAAACAAATCTCACAAACATTATGCTGAGCAGAAGAAGCCAAACACAAGAGAATACATACTGTGGTATTATATTTTTGTGAAATTACAGAAGGGACAGCACTTATTTATAGTGACACAGCAAGATGAGTGGTTGCCTGGAAATTGGGGTGGTGGAAATTTACTGCAAGGGGCATAAGGGAATTATTTGGAGTGTTGGAAATACTCTCTATCTTGATTGTGGTCATGATTACACAGGTGTATATATTTGTCAAGATTAAAAGTGTACATTTAAATGGGTACATTTTAGTTCATACTAATTATGCCTCAAAGTTGAATTACAAAGCCAAAATTTTGAGATATAGTTAATATTTTATAATAGAAAATGAATTGATTTGGGTAGACACAATTACTTTTCCAAATTGGATTATATCATTATTGAGATCTTTCTTTGAAAGACTTGCCTTTTAATTCAGAATCTTCCCTGACCAACTTTTTTGTTCGCATCATTTCTTTGTAAATATCTTTCCTAAGGACAATTTTAGGTGTCCAACAAATTACTTACCTTCATCTTTTCTGGTAGAAAATAAGCAGCAGTCTAATCCTTTATTCAGAAACAGAGTAGCCTTTCTCTTTTTCCTTTCAAGAAGAAACAGCACAGTTAACCTAGGAAGTGTTTCCCACACGAACAGTCTTATAAGGCAATTGTAGGAGAGCAGAAGAATAGGATAGGATAAAAATATCTCTGTGGTGACCCACTCCTACTGTTTCCTTTATGAAACTACTGAAATGAAAATCCTCTGCAGTGCAAGCAGTACGTGGTCTTTGACTTTCAGGTGCGTTCAGTCTAATCGGAGAAAAAATGTAAAACACAGGAAACAATGAGATGAGTTGAAGTGAAGTATGTTCAGAGAAGGAAAAGGTGGTACGGCACAGTAGAGCAGTCAGGGGAGAAGCTTGACCTGTACTTGAAAGACCGAGTCAGAACAGTGGTTGAAAAGAAGAGATGAGAAGGAGCACTGCATGTGCTGAAAACAGAGTAAACAGATTTTATTAGTTAAGAGAGTGTACATCGAGAAGTAGCAAAAAATTAATTTTGCGTAAAGTAAAATAAGCTTGCTGTATTTATCATCACAGATAGAGCTAAGATGCATATAATATTGAACAAAAGTCAGCAGTTGAGAAATACTTTTAGGAATTCATTTATTCACACAAGAGCTCTCTCCTGAGCTTCAGATCCATATAAACATCTGCTTGATGGGTATTTGCACTGGGATATGTCCCATATTCTATCATAATTTAATCAAAATTAAAATCAGTATCGGGCTTCCCTGGTGGCGCAGTGGTTGAGAGTCCGCCTGCCGATGCAGGGGACACGGGTTCGTGCCCCGGTCCGGGAGGATCCCACATGCCGTGGAGCGGCTGGGCCCGTGAGCCATGGCCGCTGAGCCTGCGCGTCCGGAGCCTGTGCTCCGCAACGGGAGAGGCCACAACAGTGAGAGGCCCGCGTACCACAAAAAAAAAAAAAAAAAAAAAAAAAAAATTAGTATCTTCTCCTGCAAACTTTCAATCAGCAAATACCCCAGACCCTGTGCTAGAGACAGAGCAAAGAATCAAACAGACATGATCCCTATTATTAGAAATAATACAATTTCTAAATAATTGAAATTGTTTAGAGTGCTGTGGAAGAGAAATGAGGTGCCACAGGCTATGTAACTAGAGAGGCTAATCCAGTCTGGGAAGAGCCCTTTCAGATGAATAGGCATTGTCTAAGTCAAGAAGGGTGGCACGTGTCCCTAGTGTAAGGGACAGCTGCACATGTTGCAGCCCAGTAGTAAGAGAGCACATAGTGCTCAGTGAACTGAGAGATAGCCAGTAAAGATGGAGCCCAGGGAGCAAGGCAGAGTGGTGAGAGGCAAGTAGGGATAATCAGCAAGGCTTGATCATTTGTGTAGGGGAGGAGGGAGAGGTCTTAATGACTCCCAGCTTTCTGCCTTGAGCAGCAGGGTGCATAGTCATGCCATTTATGAACTCTAGGGAAAACTGGAGCAGCTGAAGGAGCAGAGAAAGGGGAGAGAGAGAGAGATTTGAGACATCCAAGTGGAAATCCAGATAGACAGTTGAACTTAGAGGTCTGGTGCTCAGAAGAAAAGTCAGGACTAGTTTGCACTTGATGGCACATACATGCTAATCCAACCAAGGAAATAAATGAAAGCACATCGGGAGAGAGTGAAGAGTAGGAATAGAAGGGGACCTAGAATCAAGTCTGGAAAATGTGTATCGTAGTTGCTCTGCCTCTGTCCCCAATCTCAGTGAATGACATCACCTTCCACCATGTTGCCCATATCAGCACCCTTTCCTGCCAGTCAAGTACTAAGTCTCATTGATTCCATTTGTTGTCAGTTCTTTCTCACATTGGAAGACCAGGTGCCTTTATATATTGCTCACTGGTATCTAGAGGATGGGCCACCAAGCAGCTTTTAAAGTAATGCAGGCCACTTGAGGTGTAGCCACTTTGGGAATCTACTCAACTTTGCCAGAAGTGAGTGTTATGGGTCAGCTTCTCCCCCTGCAACACTTCAATGGAGCCCAAGTCTTCATTTCTGAAGCTAGACTTTTGAAGTACCCATACTAAACCTTGCCTGGATCAGGAATGTGATAAAGTGGACTCTTCCTGATTTGCCTTAGCCAGTAGGAGAATGAATACTATTCCAGCTATTTAAATACCGCTCTTTTTCACCAAGTCTGACCAGCAGCATTTTATATGATCACCTGGAGGAGTGTTTCTTTCAGTCTTACATTTCCTGCAGCATCACCTCCTAGCTGGTTGAAATTCTGGGCTCTTTCCCAACCAAGAAGTCTGCATGGAGGCTAGATTAAGTTGGCATTCTTGGATTTGGAGGCACCCCAGAGAGTTAAGGATCTTCAGCAGTTACTGAGTTAACAGTTTATCTCCTACTTGTCTAGCTTGGCTGTTCCAGTTGCTGTCCTCCTGAGAAGGAAAGGGGTTTGTTTAATTCCAAGCTCCACCTATGGGCTTCCAGCACATGAAAATCTTATTTATTCATTTTAATCCAAGCTCTTCACTATACAGTAACATCACTAAACCATTGATTAGCTGAAGCCAAGAGAGGATTCGGGAAAAGTCAACCTGACTCCTGGGACTAATTCCAGGAAGTTTATCCCAGCCAGTTTTTCTATATACTCTGTATGCTGCCATCTCCATACCTCCCCACCCCCAGAATAATCCCACATAAAAAATTTAAAAATCTTTCCTGGCTTTTTTTGCAATTAAGATTATGCATCGTCACCCGTGAATTTTTTTTAATTCTCTAGTGAGAATTTTTTTAAGTGTTTCCACTTGTTTCTTTCCTTCAGATCCCAGCTCTCACTATGTGATTACCCTGAAAGCATTTAACAATGTGGGTGAAGGTATCCCCCTCTATGAGAGTGCTGTGACCAGACCTCACACAGGTAAGGTACCCTGTCCATATCTGGTCTTCAGCGTTTTTTCCAGCAGCTTAAGTAGAATGTTGACATGAGGCCAACATGCCCCATAGGTATCAGTGAAAGGAAAAGTATATGGCAATTTAGGGTACAGGCTTCAAATAGGAAGATAAATGGGCTTTAAACATGGAAAGTTCTATGAATCCCTGTTTTGCTTTTTAGAAAATGTTAACAGTCCTGTCATGTAAACAAATCTATGTAAATGTGTAACACATGTTTTTAATATGTTGGGATCTAGAAAGCATAGTCGTGAGAGAATTAAAAACGAATTTTCATCTTTTGGTCATGTGAGTTATAACTAAAATGAGAAAAAAAATGAAAGGATCTCCATATCTCTGAGGAAATATATAGGTTACTGATGGAATAAATGTATATGATTGATGAATCCAACATTTTTTTTATTAGTGACCTGAGTTAGTTGGGAAGGTATTTTTCTATGTGCTTTTTATATGCTTTATCTATAGAAAGTACGAAGTCATATGTACTATCCATTTGATCAACTGTACATTTATTACAAAAGAGACCAAATATTTATTATTTTTCTTTGTAATTTAATCTGTTTTATTTAATCTATTTTAATCTAATTTAATCTATTTTATTATTTTTCTTTGTAATTTAATCTATTTAAAATATCTTTAAAAGAATAATGTAAAATGTCTGTAGATTATGTAAAACGTGATTTAGATTTGAATGAGAAAGTTCATTGAAGTGAATATATTAGAATTGCAAAGTTTTCTAAAGGGTACTGAAAACCAAAGAATTTATCACTTTCAGAAATGCTCTTTTCTATTTGTTTCTCAAAATTGTGAATCTGTATTGCCTGCTATGTATTCTGGATACTTTGCTTAATAGTATGGATTTGGCATTATTCGTTTTAAAAAGATAATCTCTGTCCCCTTTTTTTTATGCTTTTACTTAAAAACACCAGCACCATGCTACATATCCTGTCTTCTCCTGTGTGCTTACAGTTTATAAGTTCTCTTAAAAATAGCTTTGGTATTTCAGAAACGAAAAAAAGTAAGATGAAAAAGAATATTTAAGCGGTTTGCTACTTTCTTAAATCAGTCTATAATAGAAAAAAAAATTTGGAATTATTTTCTTTTACGTGACTTAAAAATGTAACATGGCTAGAAATATACAAGGGGAAATGTTCATAAGTCATGTAACCTAGTTATCTTTTCCAAGAGTTGTTACAAATAAGAAAAAAGTTCTCAAAGAAGTCTTGGTGATGTTTGCACCTGAAGCTGCATTTTCTGTAACTAATTGGTATGTGTTCTGATCTTTGAACAAAGCCCTTGATTATAAGTATGCTGTTCCTGTGTTATTTTTAGTCTTCATTGTGTAGGAAATACACAAATGGAGACTATTTCTTTAGCTTGGCAATTATTCATAAACAAGGCCCATGGCATTTCAGATTTTAGGTTATAGAAAGGACTAGTCACTGTAACTATATGGGAAACCCACTTTAAAACCTTCACTTAAAATAAATCAGTGTGTACTTAGAAAACTGGCCAAGAGTTGGGAAAGCCCAAATGGATGCTGCTGTATTGCCGTGGGCTCATGGTGCCTTTGTGCTCATTCTGGCCTTTGTTTTGACAATGATGCTTAGAGAATGTGTCTGTTGCATATGGTGCAGGACAGCACATGAGTATAGACTTTCCTTTCTATCAAATAAGTGCTCTGATTTCTAAAGTTCATAAAGGCTGTGTCACTTAGACCTTTAATAACTATGGCATTTCCCATAACTGATAGGGATTCATCAGTGGGTTGTTCTAAGTCTACTGGAGAAAGTGTGGAAATATTCCTGCGTGGCGTCAGCTTACCTTTCGTCTACGAAGAGTAATGCCCTTGAGTTCCCTTTGCTTTATTTGCATGTGAGCCATATTGCTGCACTTCTTTTAGACCCAGGACGTCAGCAGATCTGAACTGGACCCTGCATGGGTATCAGATACGCCCAATGCCAAGGCCAGGCTAAGTTGCTGTTGGCTGATACTCAGGACTCATGTTTTAGAGTAGGGACCCCTACATGTCCAGTGATACCCACTGATAAGCCATGTCCCAAAAATTCAACCATAGTCACTAAAATATTAAAACAGATCATGAGCTTTGTGTTATTTGTTTAGAAAGAATACTCTTGATATTAAAAGCAGTTTTCATCTTTTAATGATCCTTTTTGGACAGGAGGTAGAATTTTCAAGTAATTTAAAGGAAATTTTTTAGGAAAAAGAAAATTCAAGTTTAATACATTAATATAATCACTGGATTACCAAATTTTATATACCTGTTCAATATACATACAGAATACAGGAGAAGAAAATAGTTAATTACTGTTTCTCTAGATGCTTTCCTGCAATTTTTTCCTGAAAGAATGCAAGTGGAAATACTCTTTTAAATGAATGGTGGTTATCTGTTAACTCTGGATTCTCTTTCTCTTTCTCCATTTCTCACCTTTCATTCCATTATATTACCCTGCATTTCCCTTTTTTTTATTTTTGTTTATGTTAAAATGGCACTTCCATTTTTTAATTACTTTTTACCCAGACACTTCTGAAGTTGATTTATTTGTTATTAATGCTCCATACACTCCAGTGCCAGATCCTACTCCCATGATGCCACCAGTGGGAGTTCAGGCTTCCATTCTGAGTCATGACACCATAAGGATTACATGGGCAGACAACTCACTGCCCAAACACCAGAAGATTACAGACTCCCGATACTACACAGTCCGATGGAAAACCAACATCCCAGCAAACACCAAGTATAAGGTACTGGCACATTTGTTCTGGTTGAAAACCTAATTCTTGATATTTTCTGACTCTGAAGCTCTTGATTCATATATTTCCAGAATGCTAATGCAACGACTTTGAGTTATTTGGTGACTGGTTTAAAACCAAATACACTCTATGAATTCTCTGTGATGGTGACGAAAGGTCGAAGATCAAGCACATGGAGTATGACAGCACATGGGACCACTTTTGAATTAGGTATGTGTTGTCAGAACTTTGTCACATGGCATTTCTTCTCTTTGCAAGAAGTGAAAGCCAGTGAAAGTCCGTGCTAATGTTGTGCCATATCTCAAGTCATAAGACATCTCATCACCTGTTTTTCCTACCCAAGGAAAGAATTGAGTGCGTGAATTGACATATTTACAGAACACAGTGAGCAGCTACAGCTGGAGTTCAGTGTTTGCTTTTTCAGCTGATTAATTATGTTTTTTCATCGTTGTACAAGAACATTAGCAAATAGGACAATATAATGCAAAGTGTACTAGATTTTAGGAGTCATGAGACTTGAGTTCAATTCCAAGGTCAACCATCTGTTGACTGTGATCATAAGCAAGTCATCCAGCCTCTCTGAATCTATTTCTTCCATCTATAAAAGAGGGGTGATCTCTGCCTTTCCTACTTTATAGGGTAAAATAAAGTACCCTATAAATAAAGTACATGGTAAATTGTAAAGCACTGTGTAGATGTAAGGAATTACGGTTATTAACCTTGCCTTACTGGGAAATTGAGATAGAAAAGATGAAGTGGGCTGCCCTTCACCAATGCTATGCTTGCTAGAGCCTCAGCACTTTACCAGAGCCTCCCAAGCCTGCCCTAGGAGCTTTCTTGCAAACTGTTTAGTGTCTTATAAAATCTCCCACTGGAGTATTCTTAGGGTTTTTCTCTGTAAGTAAACATGAAAGAAAAAAGACAGCTAAGTAAATCAAGGGGAAAGCAAGCCATCCAATTTTAAGATTTTGCTTGCTTTTTGCTCACTTGTAGACCTACCCTTCTGCCCCTTGTACTTCCCTAGCATGGGGAGGTGTGTAACCGTTGGGAGGCTCTGTCTATTCCACCCTCCTATTTCTTTCTCCCTTTTAAATGAATAATGAAAAAAATAGAGCTATAAAGTCTCCGTAGACTGGGTTTGGCCCTAATGTCTTTTTATCTTCACAGTTGGTTGAATTTCCTGCAGAGAAAAGGGGTTAGATTTGGAGAGAAAGAAATATAATGCACAAAAGCTTAAATAGACCTTGAGTTTGCTTTCTTTGCCAGTTTTAAGAATATCTTTGTGCTTTCATTCCAGCCCATTAGGTAATAAATGATACTCCATCAGGAGTTTGCATTTCACTGGGCTCCCTTCCGTTTTATACTAGGAGAATTCCAGTATTTTAGGAAGAGAAAAGTAAATTTAAGGATATACTTACTTTGCTCATTTTCCAACTAGTACATTAAAAGTTTTCAGCCATAACATGGAAATACAGATGCACTGTCATTTTTATTTTATTGGTTTTTCTGTTCCATAAACAGCTTTACATTTCAGAGCAATAACCTTCAATAGTTTACAGTATCTTTTCAGCGTAAATTTAACTTAAAAAAAAAACCCATCAATTTGTAAATCATTTATTCTTTGGGGGAATGGTGGTTTTCAAACACTGTATTTGGTTTAGAGAGCCAACTGTAGGTAGAGAGAAAGTTACTTTATACTTAAAACTATTCTAACAAAACAATCCAATTTGGGGGGAAAATGTCGTCTTGGGCACATTATATAACATTTCTCATTTTCAGTCTCCTGATCTATCAAGCAGGGACTACAGATGTCTTTTGATTTCCCTAACTAGCCTGCATATCCCTGACCTCCCCATCTGGATGCCTATACTGTATTCTCATGGTGTGATATTTCCTCTTTGGTACTTTGCATATTTTTCTTTTCATTGGAGCTATTTATAGATAGACAGTGAATTCTTTGAAGCCAGGAGGCTTTATCTTTTTTGCCTCTGCCCTTCATTGTGCATTCTAAATGGAAAGGGTTGAGGAAAGGGTGAATTAAATTGAAATGGATGGGAATTACTGAAAGTATTATTATTTTGTAGTTCCTACTTCTCCACCCAAGGATGTGACAGTTGTGAGTAAAGAGGGAAAACCTAGGACCATAATTGTAAATTGGCAGCCTCCCTCTGAAGCCAATGGCAAAATTACAGGTAAGAGGCCTAAGATGCCTTTGAGTGTGTGACTGTTCCCTGTTCCTGCCTGGCAGAAGCATTCCAGGAGGGTGCCTCCTTGTTAGGAGAAATGGGGGTCTTAAAGCTGCCTTGGCCATTTTATGAGGTGTGAGTCATGATGGTCCTGGAAGGTGGAGCAAGGACGTGCTGTTTAGTGACATAAAAATGATTCACTAGCTGGTTGTTCTGACCCATGTTGCATGAAAGTCTGAAGGTTGTGGGTTGTACTAGACAGCCTTTGGTTATAGTGGAACTTATGGACATATTTATTTTCCTCAGGAAAGCTGCTCTTCTCTATCTCTGATTAGATGACCAGCTTTGAGATTAAAGACCCTGCCTAATTCTACAGAATAATACCCAATAAATATAAACTCAGTTCTTTTACCCAGAAGCCAAAAAAACCCATTAGGCTTTTAGTTTCTTTTTTCACCCAGAGCTGCTACTTCAGCTTCCTGTGCTCTTACAACTAGAGTTAAAAGTCCGAGTTGGCTTAGGCCTTTGAAGGGACCTTGAATTTTTTCAGAGTAGAGGGCACTATGCCTTCCTTGGCCTTATCAGGGAGGAAAACCTGCCTCTGCTCCAGGTAGGTGTATGCCTCCTAAAGTTTCTTCGTATGAATAAGGCAGCCTAAGGAAACTGAAGGCCTTTCTTAGCATTGTCCTGCCTTGGCTTTCAATAGGAATCCCTTTCCATAAATCCCAAGTCTTTATGAAATTTTTACTTTAGGTTTTAGAATGTGCCTCTTCCATAAAGGAATTAAGCATGACTTGACATGGATTACATTTTGTTTTGTCTTTAAAACCAGTAATGATGCAGTGCATTTTTGCGCTGTGTAGGTCAGGTAGGCTTGTGGTTGTGGTTCTTCCTGCCTCAGCCATGGAGATTGAGTGCCCTCTGGTGGATGTATCAGGTGACGTTTCACTGTGACTTCACCCACCCCAAGTTTGGGAGAGTTTAGCAGAGGTGGCTGCGCATCTCCTAGGAGTTTTTCTCCTGGGAAATCACATTGGTGAGAGTTAAAACAGCATTGATGGGCTTCCCTGGTGGTGCAGTGGTTAAGAATCCACCTGCCAATGCAGGGGACACAGGTTCAAGCCCTGCTCCAGGAAGATCCCACATGCTGCAGAGCAGCTAAGCCCGTGCTCCATAATTACTGAGCCTGTGCTCTAGAGCCATGAGCCACAACTACTGAGCCTGCGTGCCACAACTACTGAAGCCCACGCGCCTAGAGCCCGTGCTCCGCGACGAGAAGCCACCACAATGAGAAGCTCGCACACCACAACGAAGAGTGGCCTCTGCTTGCCACAAGTAGAGAAAGCCCACATGCAGCAACGAAGACCCAGTGCAGCCAAAAATAAATAAATTAAATAAATAAATAAATAAATATATATATATAGCATTGTCAGGCCGTTACTAGTTACTAGTTTCCAAAACTGCATTGAGTTAATTGTAGACCCTAGAGGTATAGGATGTTGGAATGATGATTAGGTTATTTTCCTTATATAATTTCCTAGCTTATGAGAATATTTAACCCTATATTTTTATCTTTACTTTTATTACATCAGCTGCAGATATAGATGGTAACTTAGTCTGGCACTGTTGAAATTGTGGTTTTATCTATATTATGTTTAGTGTAGCATTTAAAATGCTTTTTACCATTGCTAATTTAATCTGTAACTAGTTCTCTATTTGTATATGCTGTAACATATATCTTTATTGACTTAACTGATTGCAAAAGAAAAAGCCAGGAATAAGATTTCTTTTCCCATTAATTCCTTTGGATAGGTTACATCATATATTACAGTACGGACGTGAATGCAGAGATACACGACTGGGTTATTGAGCCTGTTGTGGGAAACAGGCTGACTCACCAGATACAAGAATTAACACTTGACACACCATACTACTTCAAAATCCAAGCTCGGAACTCAAAGGGCATGGGGCCCATGTCTGAAGCTGTCCAGTTCAGAACACCCAAAGGTAAAGCCTCCCAAACAGAGTGTTTCATTGTGTGTCTCTTGAGTGGGGCTATGCGTGCACATGTCACTTTAGCATGTAGAGACTGGATGATACAGGAAGTCCTGATGATGCGCTTATGAGCCACAGTGTGAGCATTTATCTCAAAATGATCCCACCCACTGACTACCAAATCAATGTTCCCTAGGTTACTGACTTAACCATATAATTTACAGGGGAACTCTTGACTTCAGGCTGTTTGAGGCAGATGAATCGCAGTGATCTAAAAGTTCTTACCAGTCAGATCAGATGGGATTCTCTTGGTTCCCACACAGCGTAGTAGCATGTTTATTGTGATGGATGATTCTCTTTCAACACATGCAGGCTCTTAACCTGAAAGGCTTATTCATGGACCTTTGTAGAGAGAAAGGGTTGAGGCTTTTCTCAAAAGGGGCCCTTTAGAGAAAACTCTAGATAAGAAAGTGAAGGTAAAATATTGAACCAAGTAAGCTTAGGAATAAAAGTCGGGGACTGAGTCTGGAAGTATGGAAACCATACATGGATTTCTTTTCTGTTAGTACGAAAAACAAGACTCAACGTGTTTGGAAGTTTGTGGGTTTTTATTTTTTCCTTTAAAAATTCTGCCTGTCCCATCTTCAAAGCTTGTGATCCTTGCTCTTGTTTTTTTCTTCCCCTGTGCTTGGCCTGTTAGCGGACTCCTCTGATAAAATGGCTAATGATCAAGGTAAATGAGTAGATGGCCTCTCTTTCCTTTCCTCTCTTTTGTGACCTATTATTAGCTTTTTGGTTTTTTGGGGTTTTTTTTTCCTGAAAATCAGTACCAGTACCATGTGTTAAAAATCAAATATTTATTGGCCACAGTAGAGTTGAGTCCATGTTTGTGGCACTTGGAGTATCTGAAAAGCTAGGGAATCTATTGATACTTAGGAGCTAAATAGACTGGCAGGAAAAAAACTGAGTCAAACTTCTGCAGCTGTAGGAGATTGGCCTTAAGTGTGGGCCAGATTATCATTTGTGCTAAGATACTGAAATTCTGTAACACAGATAGGGATTTGGGCCATGATGAGAACAAGCATACCAATTTGTCATATTTGTAGCATCTAGAATTTTATTAACATCTCTAAGTGAAAAATTTAATCAAATTCAGTGAATACCCTCTTTTCCTCCCCCCAACAGAAAATCTACAAATGTACCCTACTGAATTGTGTGATTATCTGTGACAAAATTAGTGGTCTCTGTTCTCTTGTTGTAAGCTTAATTCAGAGCTGTTTTTCCATTTCTTCTCTTAAATATATCTGCTCATTTTAAAACAGGATAGAGACAGTTTACAGTGGAAGTTTAGGAAGCTTGGGCCTCAGTGTCACCATTCTTGAAATTGTCAGTGTAGTCTGTTCACTGCAATTGCTATGGTGGAGAGGTAACTATACTTTGTGATTTTCACCTCTGGGAAGTCAGCTAAAGTTGGTATCTGTTTTCTGTACTAAGAGCAGTAAAAGTAAATTTGATGGTTGCTTTTATTCTTTAGGAGTAGTTACTAGAAATACAGAGTCTTTGGATCTTGGTTAATGGCAAGGAAGATTCAAAATTTGAAGTTTCAAGTTTTAGGGCTTTGGAAATGTGTTTGCACTCAATGAGCCTTTTGTTGTATGTTAGAGAAACTGCAAACATACCTCTGTGTCTGTGTGTGTGTCTGTGTGTAAGGCACCCTAATCATGGTAGAACCTTTGACTTAAGCCTGAGAATAGAAAAGTAACTATACTGAATATGCACAGAATATAAATGTGCTCACTGTTCTTCCATCACTTCACCCCATAAGCCAGGGTGCAATTCTCAGCTACACCGCACCTTTGGTAGTTAAAATTCTTTGCCCATATTTATTTTTGGTGTTTGGCTAATCCCTGGAATTTCTTGTTCATAGGTTAAATATAAAGGAAAAATGTTAAGAAATATGGGAATTAAGTCAATCGGTTTCTTGGCAAAGTGTGTTCATTGGCAATTATTTACATAATATGTTACTCTGGATAGCTTGGCTTAAATGTGGGCTACCTGACAAATAAGTACACTTAAATATGAAGAGCCTTACAAGGGCTGTTTCATCTCTGCCACCTTATCACAGTGAAAAGAAAAACTGGAATCTTGAAATATGGTGTGTGCCATTTGGGAGGAATGACGGCATCAGAAGTAAAGGGATAAAGTAATAAGTATGGACAATGGGAAAGGGTCAAGGACTGTGAGTTAAATTCTAGAATATGCCCTTTTGGATACCCAAGACCTTCTTTGGGGGTTTTGAGCTTCTGGAAACATAGAAAATACTGTTTTCATTTCTAGATTTATTCGTTAAATGAACTCATACAGAAACCTTCAGATTTTAATTTCTTCCATTTCCTCCAAGTCTGATTATTTATAGCAGTACTTGATATTAGCTGTAATGTTTTACAGCAACACATCTGGTTTATGCATTTCCAGGCAAGCTTTATTTTGTAGAAATAACTCTCATTTGTAAGTGTTTTCTGAAGCTTCATGCTCTTTACCTCTGCAAAGGATAAGATAATATTCTTCCCTAAAGATTTATTTAGTAGTTAATATTTATTGAACATTTACTGTGTGTCAGGCAGTATTCAGAATAGTTTATTGGATTAAATTTCCATTTAATCCTCACAACCATTTCATGAAGTAGGTACCATTATTATCACTGTTTTACAATGAGGGAACTAAGACCCAAAAATAATAGCTAAGTAACTTGCCAAAAGTCACAGTTAGTGCGTGATGGAGCCGGTGTTGCGGTGCAGGCAGTCGGTTACGCACTGTGCTGTATTAACTATGTGGAACAGCTCTACTTTGCAGTTCTTGCACACTTCTTCAAAAGAAGCATGAGACTGCCTTCTGGCCCCAGACTTTGCACTGAGGAATACCTTTGCTTTACTGGGGACGGACTCCTTATATTTGCTTTACAAGGCAGCGTCTTCTATAAATGTGAAGAATAAAATTCACAACCAAGAATATAAATTTCTAAAAAGCTGATATTTGTGTTTTCTGAGGTCTGCTTATGAGGTGGTCCCAAGCCCAAGGTCAGCAGCCTCACTTGTTATGTTCCATGATGATGGATTAGGAGACAGTGTCCTTTGTGAGCAACTAGAGGGAAGACTTTGGTTTTTTTATCTTTGGATGTTTAGGTTGACTGAGCAAGAACTGAGAACCCAGTTTGAACGTCCAGTTGCCTTCCTGCTCCCGTTAGGGTAACTTTATATTTGGAAAGGCAGCTTTATATTTTGAGAAATATAAAACACTACTGACACCCACTAGGCCAGATCAACATAGCCGGTCCCTTGGAAGAGTCCATTTCTTTAATGCAGATTAGCCTAACTGGTCCCCTTAGTCCCTTTTCCATGAGAAGCTACTTTAGCCATAAGTGCTCTGGGTAGTATTTCAGCAAATGTTTCCTGGGCTAGAGAAACCTTAACAGCAAGGGGCAGCTTTGTTACACCCTAGATACAGCCATGGAACAAGGGTGTCAGACTTTCAGATGCCTCATTGCATAGAAAGCTATACCTTAGTTTGTTTTACACAAATAGGCTATATTTTCCCATTGTGTGTGTGCTACTTCCTTTTCTCATGGACAGAGTAGACTGAAAATATTTTTTTTTTGTAGAAAACACTCACTAGCTGTGAAGTAGACTTGTCACACCAATGGATTGGGTTATTGACATGAGTTCTTCTTCTTCAGCCTCAGGGTCTGCAGGGAAAGGAAGCCGTCTGCCAGACCTAGGATCCGACTACAAACCTCCGATGAGCGGTAAAGCCCTTCCTGTGGCTTTTTTGGCCTCCTGTGGGCATGATGCAGTTCTGCTTGAAATCTTGAGTTGTTTTTTGTAGCTCCTGTGTGGTGGACTGTAGCATGTTACTCATTTCTTTTTCTTTAATAGAGCTTCAGGCATTTTCTGGCAAATGTTTGCTGAATTACTAAAAACTCATTCATTATAGGATCCAGAAATAAAATTGTTTCCCCACGTATCCAGCTTAAAATAATTCTAAACAAACAAGTCTTCCTTTTGCCCACTGCCTCTAGAAAATAATTAGAATCTTGCTTTCAAAAATAAACCCTTTAGTGGGATTAGCTATCATCTAGAACGAGGCAGAGAAATGCTTTGGAATCATTAATTTCTCCCCACACTACTTACTGCAGTGTTTTTAGTTTGGGAATTCTAAAAAATTATTACCAGCCTCCAAGCCATCCTAAGAGCTGATGCCTTCTAATTACTTACATGATGACACCTGCTTCTCTACTGAACGTCACCATTTGTAAGTTACTTTCACACATGAAATCACATTTGATCCTCATAACACTGTGGTGAGGCAGGGAGAACAAGTATCATTATTCCCATTTTATACATTAAGAGACTCAGCGGAGAGGTAATGTGCCTGGATCCACCCACATATTCTGGAAGTCCTAGAACCAAAACCCAGGTCTTCTGACTTCAGATTGTGCCTTGTCCACTGTCACATGCAGCCTGAAAGGCATGGGGTTCTATACCAGATGTGGGAATCCAGGATGGCAAAATGTCCACAAAAGTAGTTACTAGAAATGACCCTTACTGTCTCCACACTTGTAGAGTAATTTTACTCCAATAAAAAAAAAAAAAAGAAACATATGGAAGAGAAAGGAAAAGAGTTTCTAGTCCTCTGGAAACTCCTGATCTAATTGTGGAAATAAAATTATCTCAGTCTCCAGTATCTATTTAAATAAAAAGTGATATTGCCCAGACTTCTGTGAAATCAGCCAGTTCCTAGGAGAGCCAGACAAATTTGCTTGCTTCAAGAAATCTTTAGGCTCTGAGTTCTAGGACTTTATGAGTTTCTCCTCCTGGGATACATATGTTATATTTATGTGCTGTCCACAGTATAATATTCAAGACTGTGAAAAAAGCAGTTATTTCTTTGTCTTATCTTTCATTTATACATTCATTCATTTATTCACACATATTTCTAAAGGTTCAGGTTCTATGTAACAGGCTGTAGGAACAGGAGGGTTGAGTAACAAACTACCTGATAGAGAAAAGAGAAAGCTTTGTAGAAGAGATGATCTCTGACCCAGATTTTAAAAGGCACAGAGAAGATTGCTAAATGTTGAGGAGGGGGTTGAACATCCTAGGACGCAATAAAAGCACGTGTGGAGGCATGGCAGTTTAAAACAGCCTGCTTGGACATGGAGGCAACCAAGGTGTCTGTTGACAGGTGAATGGATAGAGAGGGTGTGGCGCATATGTGCAATGGAATATTATTCAGCCATAAAAAGGAACTAAACTGAGTTATTTGTAGTGAGGTGGATGGACCTAGAGTCTGTCATACAGAGTGAAGTAAGTCAGAAAGAGAAAAGCAAATACCGTGTGCTAACATATATATAGAATCTTAAAAAAAAAAAAAAAAAGTGGTTCTAACAAACCTAAGGGCAGGACAGGAATAAAGACGCAGACGTAGAGAATGGACTTGAGGACATGGGGAGGGGGATGGATAAGCTGGGACGAAGTGAGGGAGTAGCACTGACATATATACACTACCAAATGTAAAATACCTAGTTAATGGGAAGCAGCTGCATAGCACAGGGAGATCAGCTCGGTGGTTTGTGACCACCTAGAGGGGTGGGAGGGAGACAGACGCAAGAGGGAAGGCATATGGGGATATATGTATATGTATAGCTGATTCACTTCGTTACACAGCAGAAACTAACACAACACTGTAAAGCAAGTACACTCCAATAAAGATGTTAAAAAAAATTTTTTTAAACCTGCTTTCTCCAGGGATCACACTGCCTAGAGACAGGATAGAGAGTCTTGTGTTAGAGAAGGTAGGTTAGAACCAGCCTGTCAAAAGCTCAAGTGCTGATGCTAAGAAATGTGAGCTTCCTCATGTAAGTAACATATGTAAGATGTCTGATACTACTGGTAAACTATGACTTCCATTTATTGAGTATCTACTATTATTACCCTGATGACAGCAGAGAATGAGTTGGGTGTCACGAGTATGAAGTCAGAAAAGAGTGGTTTGGAAGCTGTTGCAATAGTCCAGGTGAGCCTTAATGTCCCTGGTAGGAGGGATGATGCTCCCATTGGCAGCTCATTCTTACTCTATTTTAAAAGGGAGCTTTTGGCCAGCTCAGAAGTTAGAGGTCAACTGCAATTAAATGAGAATTTGTCTCTGTTGAATGCAGGAAAGAACTGCCGCCACCACCTCTGCTTGCCTCTCACACCCCAGCTCCCCAGCCTCTGATTGCAGTGCCTGCCCCACCACTGCCCCACCCAGTAACTCAGCATTGCTGTTAATAAAAGTTTTATGTAAGGCCCTAGTATGATCTAATTGTATTGGCTCCCAGTTCCATAGTCGTTCCCAAATATAAAAATGTTATTTTATTGAAGATCAGTGTGTACAATTTAAGTTGTCTATCTGCCGACTTTTTTCTCAGAAATGAAGGATAAAAGTGATTAAAGCAAATGTAGAAGAATAAGCTCTTAAGCTGTCAAAATTATCCCACATTTAGGACTGTGCTTAGTAGCCTATAAAAACATAGAATCAAAAGTGAAAGTTCCGCTAATCCAATCCAGTGTTATGGAAGGGATTCCCACAATAAGTATAGTTTGGATTAGATCGTAAGTTTATAAGCCAGGCTGTATATGAGAGTCACTTTAGGAGCTTTTCTAAGAACACGGGTTCCTAGGCCATACCTTCATGGTAGAAATTTCTTCCACAACATCCCAGACGGGTAGGATGACTCAATTCTTAAGTACTTCTTCTAGTGACTAAATATTTAGTCACTAGCAATAGTTAAGCAAAACAGCTCATCCTATTAATTGTACAGCTTTGATTGTTAGGGCAATAAGAGAGAGTAACTAGAAGAAAAGATGTCATCTATCCATGACGGTTAGATCTGTGTAGAGGGATTTCCCATATTTTATAATATGAACATGCATAACTTTTATAACGAGGTGGGAAGCAAAGAACTATGTTTCAGAAAATGGAAGAGCAAGACTACAAAAGGCCTTGATAAAAAGCTGAGCCTCATCCTGTGAGCAATGAGGGAACAGTAATAGGAAGAAGAAAATCTGTTTCTTCAAGGCCCTAAATGATGTGGCCTCTGCACACCCCTCCAGCCTCACCTTCATCTTTTTTCTGCTTACTTCCTTCTCTCTAACTTTGCATATCTCTCTTTGCTTCAGCAATACTGGCTGCCTTTCTCTTCCTTGAACGTGCCAAGCTCATTCCTGCCATAGGATCCTTCCACTAGCTATTCCCTCTCTATGGAATGTTCTTCCTCCAGGTCTTTGTATGGTGGGATCATTCATGTCATTCAAATCTCAGCCCAAATGCCATCTCCTCAGAGAAGCTTTTCCCATCCATTCAATCTAAAATAGCCACCCAGTCACTCTGTATCATATACCTTCATTTTATTTTTTCATAGCACTTATTACAAACTAATAATTTCTTATTTGTTTATTGTCTGCCCCCACCCCTACCTATCTTTGTTGTTCACTGTTGCATCCTTAGTACCTAGAACAATGCCTGGCTCATAGTAACCACTCAATAAATATTTGTCAAATTAATGCATATGTACATACTTTTTCCTGAAACTGAATAAGAAAATTAACTCTGCATAGACTGTGTATTTATAAAAAGAGAGACGTTATTTTTCAAATAATTTTTTTGTGATGGCAGACATCTATATGTTGGAAAAAACCTTTTGTTTTCTATGAATGTACATTTTTTAAATAGTTTTGCAAGTCAGAAAGCTAAAATGATTCACAAATGGTGCTTTATAAAATGAATTTACATACAACATAAGACACCAGGAGACAGACCCCCTTATTTGTCCAAGCATAGTGTTCAGTATAACTTGAGAAACTTTTATTGAACATCAGCTTTGTGCAAGGTACTGTGCATAGGGCAGAAACTCCGCTCTCTAGATTTCATGATCTAGTGGAGGTGGCTGTGTTCATGAGGCACTTTTATACAAGGCACGGTGATGACTGTTATCAAGAAGCTCACAGAAGTATCTATACTCACATGACGGTTCTGTAGCCTGATTTTATGCTAGAATTCTCTAACACTAGCAAGCGTACGGTTTTCCCTTTCCAGGCAGTAACAGCCCTCATGGAAGCCCCACCTCTCCTCTAGACAGTAACATGCTGCTGGTCATCATCGTTTCCGTTGGCGTCATCACCATCGTGGTGGTCGTGATCATCGCTGTCTTTTGCACCAGGCGTACCACTTCTCACCAGAAAAAGTAAGGAGCCCCAGTTGTAGCCCATACATTTTTTTGTATGTATTCTTTTGCTTCTATGTGACTTCTGTATCTGGAGTTGTACACAGAGTTAAAACATAAAATATGTGAAAAGCGATGTTTCAAATATTTTTAAAGGAAATGCAGAATGGTTCCTCTTATTAAGTGTGTGTCATTCAGGGTCCTGGCAGGAAAGAGGTGGCACAATGAAAGGGGGTGAAGGAGGCTTTAATGAAGGGACCATTTACAATGTCCTAGGTGGCGTTAGCGTTAGGCAGCAGTGTTCAAGGGCCAGCAGCAGTGATAGGCCACTGTCACCCTTAAAAGGGTGAGGGTTTTTTCTGATGAAGAGAGAGCTGTTTTCAGGGATCTGAAGCAGCAGGAGAGGGCTTGCGACAGGAACCGTGTGGGGTGGTAGGACTGTAACTACTGCCAACCCCCAGCCCAGCAGTGAGGGGGCAGGAGAGAAAATACCTCCTACCTTCCAGTGTCTTGCCTGTGCATTCTACCTTCCAAACCAACTTGAAGCCAGGGACAGAGTTACCTTGTAGATATAGTTCATTTAACTCAACCTCTCAAGTCACAGAGCCAAGTAGACAATCGATCTGGAGAGGAAAGTGGACAATGTCCAGCCTTGTTGGGGGCCCCTTTGGAAGACTGTCTCTGTGCACACAGTGAACCAGATGCACAGGGGTTTGTGGAATTTCATGGCACAAATGTCAGCTGAGATGGACGGAGACCAGAGACCATAGACTCTAAATCTAAGCTTAAGAGTATTTTTAAAGAAGTGCTACCAAGTGTAGAAGTTGAGGTTGGGACTGCAGGAGGTGGGGTGGGGGGAATGCGGTGGAGAGATGTATTGATTAAATGAACGAGAAAGGATTACTTATAATCAGCATATCACATTAGCAGAGAGGTCAGGTGGCTGCTAGCTCTGAACTCCTCTGGGATTTTGAGGCTTGCGGCTAATTGTCTAGAGGAGATAGCAAGGTGATTCCATAATATGGTGCTTGATAACAGCCTGCACTCCGGAACCTGAGAGAATCCTTGACCCTAGGTCATATTCTACTCCTATCTCTGGCCAGCAAGACAGATGCCATAAAAAAGGAGATTCTTGAGTTACCCCTAATAGCAAAAACACAGTATGGGTAATAGAACAACTTTAGTTGCAGTATCCTAAAGGATCGTAAGATGGAGGTATTGCTCCATAAAGAGAAAAGAGAAATTCACGTCTGTGTGATTATCATCAGACCTGGTCTGCCCAAGGCAAGGATGCAAGTATTTAATAACAATAAATCTGTTTGTTTTCAAAATAGAGGGCAAGTACAAGCTACCATCTAACTGCTACTAGTAATGGCTTTATGTCATTTTCTGTAGGTTATGTGATGTTTTTAATCTTTCTTTTGCCGAAATAAAATAGCTTTCTGTAGCTCACCTTCATCATTTTTCCAAGAGAATGGGGGCTCTCTTTATAAGCCTGTTGATTGCTGCCTCTTACAGCTTTCCCTACCTACCTTTGACTGTAGAAAACTGTTTCTCTTTAAAACCTCAGAAATAAGATTTTTCTATGCTACAACTTTTCTATAAGCTTCTTTTTCAGCATTTCCCATTTATCTTTATGAACTTGATTTTGCATCTAGTTTTAGACATCTTGAGATCTTTATTTAAAAGAATCTGGAAAAACAAAATGACAAACTTCCTTAATGTTTGGGGCGATTTAAAATTCAAAGTAAATAAAAAATAAAGTACTTAGTCTTCAGATTGAGAGGTAGGAAAATGAGTTTGTAATAGGCTCTGTACTCTGTATTTGCATCTGCAGGTCCTATAATTTGCGTCCCTTTGGCTAAAAGAATTGTATCAAGTCTTCATAGAGCTTTCCCCTCCTCCTCCCCCAGTGATCTGCTTTCCAAGTGTTCCATTGACCACCGAAAATATGTGAGCTTTTCTCAGTACTTTTCTTCCTCTTTAATACCTGAGACACCTCCCATTTCAATTGTAGCTGTTTATAGACTCTTACAACCTCAAAGCTGACAGAGTATTTAGAGTCTAGCCCCTTGTAGTTTCTCAGCACATCCCTCTATAGCCCCCTCACTCTCAAAAGATGAGAACTACCTCAGTGTGCCACCATCAAATCTAAAAACCTTTCCATGTTGGGAATAATCATTTTCTCCCCCTTCCTCCTTTCGGAGACCAGTTCTCCACTTACCGTCTGGATCCCAGGGTCTCCTGCTTTCTAAGACCTTGTACTTGTGGTTGTCCCTTTCTCCAGCACAGCTAACCTGTCACTCTCTGTTGGCTCTGCCCCTTCAGCATGTAAGTGTGCTCAAACTTCTTCTATCTTAAGAAATAATTATAACCCTTCCTCTGTTGCATGGTCCTTACCACCAACCACTTACAAATCTCTGTCTTTCCCTTCACCACAAATTTCTTGAATACTTGTCTACACTCACTTGTCCATTTTTTCACTGCCCATTCATGCTTCAGTCCTTTCTAATCCAAATTGTGCCCCTACTGCTGCAGCAGAATTGCTTTTGCTGAGGTCACCAGTGACTTCCATATTGCTAAAGCCAAAGGAAATTTTTCAGTCCTTACCTTAATCTCTCCCCACTTAACACAGTCAACTACTCCTTCCTTCTTGAAACATTCTCTTGAATACATTCTCTTGTATTCCGTGATTGTGTGTTCATTTTCGCAGCCTCTCCAATCTACTCAGCCATCAAATACAGACATTCCTCAGGGCCTGGTCCTAGAATTACTCTCTTCTCCTTCTACGCTCTCTCCTAGTGATACTTGCTCCTTTGGCTTCATTTACTTCTGAATTTCAGCTACTCCCATATTCCTGTCTCTAGCCAAGGACTCTCTCTTCTGAGTCTCAGGCTTGCCTCAGTCTCAGAACCAATTACCTGTTTTATGTTTCATCTGTAGTGTCTCAGAGCCACTTAGCATGTCCAAAACAATTTATAATCTTTTCTGTCAAACCTGCTTCTCCCCAGTGTTAGTAAATGGCTTAAGCCAGAGACCTCGGCATAATCCTTTATTCCTCTTGTTTCTTTATTCCTATCCTTTCCCACATCCATTTTTTCACCAAGTCTTGTCATTTGGGGCCCCTAAATAACTGCCAGATCTCTCTCTTTCCTCCATTCTCACTGTCCCAGGCCACCGCCAGTCATGCCTGAGATTACTGCAGTTGCATCCTAACTGCCCTCCTGTTTTGTCCCCTACCCCTCAAATCCATTCTTCACATCCCAGTTGGTTTAAATTTTTAACTCAGAGTTCATCTCCTTACTCTCCTGCTTAAAACCATTTAGGGGTTTCTCTTTACTCATAGAGGGAACTGCAGACTCTTGGCGTGGCTCTAAAAGCCCTTTATGATCTAATCCCTGCCCATCTTGCCAGCATCATTTCATATCATTCTCCCTATGGTTCCTACGCTGCCACCACTCAGGACTTTTTACAGTCCCTCTAACACACCAGGCTGTTGCTCTGTGCTTCAGGGCTCTGACATAATCTGATTTTACCACCTGGAATGCACCTTCTGCCCTGTCCCATTTAGGTCTTAGCTTAAATGTCACTTTTTCCGTCACATTTTTCCTGTCCACTGTATGTCCAGCTATTAAGAGGTTACTATAACACTTGGCATTTCATTAAGCTCAGAACATTTAAAAATAATAGTTCAGGGCTTCCCAGGTGGCGCAGTGGTTGAGAGTCCGCTTGCCGATGCAGGGGATGGGGGTTTGTGCCCTGGTCCGGGAGGATCCCACATGCCGCGGAGCGGCTGGGCCCGTGAGCCATGGCTGCTGAGCCTGTGCGTCCGGAGCCTGTGCTCCGCAACAGGAGAGGCCACAACAGTGAGAGGCCCACGTACCGCAAAAAAAAGAAAAAAAAAAGTTCAGTGTCTGTCTTCCTCACTTGGCCAGAAGTGCTGAGGGTACAGCAATCCAGCATAGGACCTGACATACAGCAGGTACCTAATAAATGCTTATTGAGTTGGGTGAGTGACTTAATGGAGAAACTAAGGCACAGAAAAGTCGACACTGTCATCCCCATTCTTGACTTAACCCAGTGGTGGTCCTAGTTTGAGTTACCTAAAATGGAGTTCCCTTCCTCCTTTATAAGCAGACTCTATGTCTACTCCATTGTTATATTTCTAGTTAACGGTGTCCTTTCTCTATTGATTGGAAACTTGGGGAGAAAGCTTTTGCTTTAGAGATTATTTGATTCAAAAATGCTGTCTAATCTGCTTATACTCAAAAAGTCACAAGGCAATATTCAAATATGCCCATGTACATACCTCTAAATAATGTGGACAAAGCAGTGATACACTTACTGTTCCCAGAAGGAAACTTCTTGACTCTGTTTTTCTTGTTTGTTTCTGATTTTGCCTGAAGCATCTCTCAGAAGGGAAGTTTTAATCATTGAAACCTTTTGACTAATAATATTCAAGAGTTACTTTTAAAAATCCTCTTAATTTTGTACCTAGGAAACGAGCTGCTTGCAAATCAGTGAATGGCTCCCACAAGTACAAAGGGAACTCCAAGGATGTCAAACCCCCAGACCTCTGGATCCATCATGAGAGACTGGAGCTGAAACCCATTGATAAGTCTCCAGACCCAAACCCCATCATGACTGATACTCCAATTCCTCGTAACTCTCAAGATATCACACCGGTTGACAATTCCATGGACAGCAACATCCATCAAAGGCGGAATTCATATAGAGGTGCAGGTTTTTCCCAAATGTTTGGAGACTATTTTCATTTAAACCATTTTCCATTTTGTAAGGTTGCCTTAATTTGGTGATTCCTATACGAGGTTAGGTTTAAAGAAATGTGTGTTACAGGATCAACCTCTGATGAAGAATAGCTAGCTTGTTAGGAGGGAGAGGTTCTATACCCAGATGAGACAGTCTTCTAGCTCTGTTAGGTCTCTCATCGTGTTCACCAACATGACACTCAAGCATTTGAGACAACGTAGCCTATGTCTGTGCATTTCATTCCATCCCTTCAGTGGGGCCCCAGCTCTCATTGTGGTGTTCAGCATGTTCTTGGTCTGGCTGCTCTCCCTCACAGACCTGCAGTGAAGCATGGTAGGCAGCGTTGTGTCAACTGAGTTGACTCAACAGGGACTCCTGTAATGCACTAATGGTCATTTTCCTCTTTATTTCACTTCCTGCAGAACCACCTTGTCCCATTGTTGTTTGTGAGTCCTGAATCCCCCACTTGAAATGTTTTACTGCTGAGGCTGCTCATTGGCCTAGGGCACATGTTTGTAACCAGCCTCCATATTTGATGTCTAGGGCATGAATCAGAGGACAGCATGTCTACACTGGCTGGAAGGCGGGGAATGAGACCAAAAATGATGATGCCCTTTGACTCCCAGCCACCCCAGCGTAAGTTAAAAGCTTCTCTTTTCCCGAGGGCTGCCAATCTATCCAGTCATGTTGGGGAACAACTATCAGTGATCTCTTTGACTTCACTTGATCCTAACACAAAAAATAATCTACCAAAGCTTTGGCACCATGAGGGAATAAGTATCAAGCATTTGCCGTATTTTGCAATTAATATTTATTCTTGCAAGTAGCTTAATTTCAGTGCAAATAAGCTAAGAAGCCAATTTCCACAAGTCTCCCAGGCATTAGGGAAGTGACCAGTCTCTTTAAAAGTACATCGAATCTCTGCAGGAGAGATGGGGATGAAGATGGCTAGATGTCACAGTATTCCTTAGGCTTCCCGATACATAATCAGTGTTGATAGGCACCTGCGGAATTTTTTTTTGGTTAATAGATGTTATATTTTAGAGGAGTTTTAGGTGGACAACATGGAGTTTTTAAAGCAATATTTTTCAACCTTATCTGACCCATGCTTCACTTTGATAAGCATGAAAATTGCCCAGCCTCCTTTAATAATATTTGAAACTCAAAATAAGTTAACTGTCATGATTAAAAAACCAAAAAGCAATGGGACAGACCAATTATATATTTAAACTAGTGTTTCTTCTCCCTTGTTACTGTTTTCAACGTGGGGAAGCCTTTCAGATTAGCTGGCACAATGGGACTTCCAGTTGAGGGTCCTCTGTGCCATTCTAGAGAGATAAGAAGCCACTTGCCTACCAATATCAAGTTTAAAAAACTATTTGATCTTGAAGTTATTTGCTCTGGACTGAACAGTAGGTTAGTAAACATTAACACTGTCAGGTGCCTAGATTCAAATCCTGAAAGATCACTTTTTAATTTAACCTAAATGAGCTTTTGGATTTTTATTCATTTCTTAAAAGATGTCCCATTTCAGAACTATTAGCCATCCCTGTTAACAAGTGACAGAGATTTTAAATAATCACAGATATCCTACACACAGAAGATGGCACCGTATACTTGGAAACTGGTGGAATCCCTGAGAGTGTAAACGTCTGCACACACGCTGTCACTTGCACGAGATTCTAAAAATCAGCTTTGAAAGGGAAAGGGCCAATTTGCTAACAGGTCATTTCTGCACAAAGTAGTTTTTGCTTAGGTCCATGATAAAAAGAAGAGGGGCCTGTACTTCGAAGTGTGCAAGGAAAAGCAGTTTCCCTCTCATCAGAGGTGCCCTGGACGGGGTCCCCAGGTTTAGAAGTGTCCAAAAAGAGTAAATTATTCCATTCCAGTTGCTTTTGATTTATAAGAAGATGGTAGCTTGACTACTTACTTGTTTGTTTTATATAAGACTTTAGTTCTTGCCTGCACTGGCTTATTTTTAAAACTTGTAAAATTTGACTAACCCTATTCCTAGATTTGTTATTTTTAAATATGTTACACAGAAAAGATGTGCTGTACTAGTTGATAGCATTCCTGTTTTTTTTCTTTTTTTGGTGGTGGGAAGGAGTATGCATAAAGGTACAGTATTACTTAATTTGTGCCTCAACAGTTGGGTGGGTGAGTGGGTCCTTTAATTCAAGAATCTGAAACCCAAATTTACTTGTGATATACTTGTGATCTTCAGGTTTAGAGATATGCTTTTCCCCACGTGGCTTCAATCCTTTTTCACAAGCTGGGATTCCCTGGAGTCTGCATCCCCCGTCCACCTACCATGGCTTTAAATGTCTGAGCACTGTTGAGAAAGGCTTGGTGGTGTCAGGATGAGGTTCCATCAAAAGCCTTGCACCAGAAGCTTTGGATTCTGATTCAGCTAATAGCTAATGATTGCCAACTGTATTCTAGACAGACACTTTCACATTTTTAATTTACTTAATTTGGAAAAACTGGCAATGCCTTAAAGTCAACTTTGTTTTTCTTTTGTGAGAGTTCTCTGTACCTAAAACACTTTCAAGTTGCACTTCCTAGATAAAAATCAGGAGGCTTTTTCCCTCACCCTAGCCTTAATTCTGGAAAACAGTGATTCTGAAACACCCTGCTTCTGAAAACTACCTGTCTTCCCCTGGAGGAGATGCTGACTGCCAAGCTGCCCTAAGACCTCTGCTCAGCCAGATATTCCAAGTTGTATTTTATTCCGAGGGACCACCTGCAGCTTCTGATCCCTGAGGGCAGGGAAAGCCCCTGATTAGTTTCCCAGGCCTTGAGGGGGGAGAGGCAGCACTGCTTCAGGGTCCCTGGCTGGTTGTGCCACCTGCTTGTTTGCACGTGGCAAAGAGAAAGCTGCAGAATAAAGGCCTCAATTTTTTTTTTTTTTTTTGGTACGTGGGCCTCTCACCGTTGTGGCCTCTCCCGTTGCGGAGCACAGGCGCCGGACGCACAGGCTCAGCGGCCATGGCTCACGGGCCCAGCCACTCCACGGCATGTGGGATCCTCCTGGACCAGGGCACAAAGCCGCGTCCCCTGCATCGGCAGGCGGACTCTCAACCACTGCGCCACCAGGGAAGCCCAAGGCCTCTATTTTATTGACTGGGATTTTCTTCACCAGTCATGTTGAGTGGCTCCCCAAGGATCTAGGGAGATTCTTGGTGACAAGGCATTTTAAGAGACTCCAAAGGCAAATTAAGTTTTATCACAAAGTTTGTGAAGTCCTTGCCTAAAGGGAAGAATAAAAAGATCCCATGTGTTCCTAGCCAACCCTACCTGTTTGGGGGATTTAGAGCTGGTTATCTTGATGTTAAACATTCTGCTTCTCCAGCTACTCTATGGGAGTACCTAAGAAAAGTTTATATCCCAACTGGGCTTCTGATTTTGTTTGTTTGCATCTCTGGGATTGATAATGAAGCCTCATTAAAGAAGCACTTTGTCTTCATAGAAAGTTGTATGTGGAACATCTGTGTGAAATTTTGGATTTGTTTGCTAAATGCAGCAAATTGAATTCCTTAGCCACTGTGGGAAGGAAAGAGGCAATTTAGGAAAAATCCGTTTATCTTTTAATATGTGAATGGATGTGGCTGAGCTCCCAGACTGGAAGCAGGAAGAGATGGTGCCCTAGGCCTGTGTTTCATGCTTTTAGTACTAGATTGTAACGTAAGAATTCAGTTCCACTTGCGTTCCTTTTAAGATGAAAGCTGATTAAACAGCTACTTATTCATTCAGCCTAAATACCTATTTCATGCTTCATTCAGCAAGTAAGAAAAGACAGAATGAATTAGGAATATACTCAAAGGAAAAGGGACTTCTGTCTTTTTAAGCAAGAGAAAAAAATACTAGATACCCAAACCACCATTTGTTTGCTTATGGATTTATATTTTATGACATATTCAAGGAGATATTTTTAATAACTCATATAATCCATATTTATTGTAGAAAAATTGGAAAATAAAGATAAACCAAAAGAAATTTTTTTTTTGATTCTTCACCACTCTTCCCCACAAGATGATCACTGTTAACATTTTAGTAAAAATCATCAGGGTTTTTTCTTTCTGTGTATATCTAGAGACATATGCATAGGAGTGTGTTGATTTTTTAAAGCAAGTATAAAACCCATGGCTAATTGTCCAAATTCAGCCATCTGCCACCAAAAAGCCAAGGAAGTGGTCGTACAGTATGGGGGGGGGGGGCCGCGGGGTAACTGCTCTTGAACTGTGATATGTGTGTGTCTGTGCAAGCATGTTAAGCATTTCTCTGTCTTGTGTTCATTCACAGCTGTGATTAGTGCCCATCCCATCCATTCCCTCGATAACCCTCACCATCATTTCCACTCCAGCAGCCTCGCTTCTCCAGCTCGCAGTCATCTCTACCACCCGGGCAGCTCATGGCCCATTGGCACATCCATGTCCCTTTCAGACAGGGCCAATTCCACAGGTGAGAGATGAGGATGGAGCCCCAGGTGGAAAGCATTCCAAAAAGCATCGGCAGGCTGCAATGGGGAGGACTTGCCCTGCTTAGAACGATTTGGAATTTTTTTTCAGTGTTATTTGTTTATCATAACGTTTCTGTTACTGACTCAAATTTGTTTCTATAAAATTCAGTCCATTTTTTTCCCCTACGTTTTAAGTGCTTAGGGCAAGGTGTTGTTTTAGTAAAAACGTAACTCTAATCACATAACCATGTCTTGTTCCATCATCTTGCCTCTTAATTCCGTCATATTTTCAGTTTGTTTATTTTTTTAATCCTCCAGTTTGAAAGGAAAATGTATTCTGGGTGATTTTCGGACACTAGATGTTGCCTTTGCCTAATGTTGGGAAGGTTCTTAGGGCAGCCATAAGGTAGTTCTAATGTTAGGCCTTAATTACTTACTTCTGCCATGTACCAAAGTAAGAGCAACACCTGGGGACAGCAGGGCCAGTGGCCATGTTGAGCTTGTGCATATTGTAAACCTCAGGTTGCCTAGTGGATGACTGAAATTAGAAAGGGCTCACAGGCATAGATCATCTCTAAAAATAGATAGGAAATTAGCCTGACAATCTGCAGTGTATTTAAAGATATACATTGCCAGACTAACATGTCCCAGTTTGGAAATCTTAAACAGCTTTATCGAAACAGTTTTAAGGAAGAAAAAGTGAAGGTGAGAGGACAGCAAATGGAATAAATACTGTTCCTCATTAATTGAAAATTAATTTCCATCTTCTCAGTTTTAAGGTGCAAAAAAACCCACTTCTCATCTATACAGTGTACTCTTTTTCCATCATTTGAAACTTATCTTTTAATAGTTACATATGTTACTAGTAGAACTAAGTTTTGGTAGTTCTGGAAAATAAGGGAATTTCAAGTGAATTCCATTTTAAAAGAACCTCAAAACTTCGTGCTAGAAGCTTGGGTTGCCAGTAACATCCCTTCCTCCTTAACGTTTTGATCAATTATAAACATACCCAAAGCATCAAATGGAGGTCAAAGCTTATTAAGAGATGCCTGATAACTCCGAAAGTTATCTACTCCCAAACCTTTACTTGGTTTGGAGAATGCTGCTTGAACTCATGTCTAAAATTGGTCTCCCCCTCCCTCCAAATCCAGGTGTGGGGTCCTGCCTTTAGGGAAAGACAGTCTACAGGAGGCTATGGAGAACCAAAGGCTGCCTCACAGACATAATCTCAGACAGAACAGACAAGAAAGCAGCCCTCCAAACCTGCTCTTAGAAAGTGGTTTTTGTGTCCTGACTCTGTTTCTCCATTTTTAAGGCAGAAAGGCCTCACCCACTGGGATATGGGCCTACCTAAGTACATGGCAGGGTCTTCCCATCAGATCAGCCCCCTCCTCCTCCCTCTTGGACAAGGAGGGGGTTGAAGGTTGGCAAGAAGCATAGGGCTCTCGCCCACCCCTCGTCCAAGTGGTCCAGTGTTGATAAAAGCTTGGTTCTGTATGGATTCAGGCGGAAAGCGAAAAGAGGAAAAGTAACTATTTGTACCACTAAAGGGTTTCCTGTTCTAATGACCAGAGATAAAAGAAGGTAAAACTTGTAATGGAGCCACTGAAGATGGATTTGAAATGTAGAGCAGGTATCTAGAAGTGATCAAAGTTCTCCTCCTGTTGTGTTTTCCTGTGTTTCTAGAGCCCAGTATTACCACAGACCTGTAGATGTGGGCTTGGCATGAGTAGACCTTGTCCAGGGCCATCTTTGCTCTAGAGGGCATTGGCTGTGTCTTTTCCTTGGACATTTACTATGTCACTACCACCTGATGCAGAAAGCGTGCTTTCCACTTGCCCAAGCACTCGGCCACTGTTCACTTTGTGTGTCTTAGACAACTCTGAGAGGTCAGTCGGGAAGTAGGGTCCCTCACCAAAGCAGAAATTTTAGTTACAACATACTTTCCCTTGTGGGCCAGATGTGTTGCACAATTTCAGGGCACACCCTTCACAGAGAATACAGTGTGCTGGTGCCCTCTGGAGTTGCTCCACACTCTGATTCATGTAGGCAACCCTCTTTTCCTTTTTCACGTTTCCCACCATTTCTGGCCCTCAGAAGCATATGCATCAAATTAAGGCAGTTGAGACATCCAAGGTAGGCCTGTGTGCCCAGAGCTGACCTAACATATCTGCCAGTACAGTCTGACATGGTCCAGGCTAGAGCCTGCTTTCTCTCTCCTCATCCTTGTAACCCTCACTAACCAGCTTCCACCCGGCCCAGGATCACACAGGGTGGGACCAGCAGCTCCCCAGGTGTGGTGATAGCTGACCTGAGCAAGCATAAGAAGTGAGATCCTCAGCGTACCCCTGGCAAGGACAAGAAGTGACCTAGGCCTGGGAGGGTTATCACAGCCAGGCTCTCAACACTTGGGGAGGGTGTATGAGTCCCTCATTGCTGGGACCCAAGGCCTTTAAGTTAAGGGAGTAGCACTCATGACTGCCATGGCCCATCTCCTGAGAGCCCAAGGGAACAGATTCATTGCTATCTCAGCAACAAAGGCAGGGAAAGGTTGGATTTCTGCAGGTTGCTCATGCATTACTGCTTAAAAGGGTTTATTTTCCTTAATAAGGTTTGAGGACTCTAGGAATCAAGGGAGGCCCTCCTTCAGGCTACCTGGTGCAGCCTATGGCCCTGAGCTGGTATCCTCCAGACCCCTCCTCAGGGTGGGGATGGTGATCTGCACCAGCTCACACTATTTGAAAGGTCTTCCTCATATGGTCTCCCTGGGACTTGGTGCTGCTTCTGCCCCTGCAGAGTCGGGGGACAGGTGGTATTGGGCATGGAAGAGCAGTGTGATGTGTATTGGATGGAGCATGGACTTGGGACTCGGGCAGGGATTCGGAATCCTGCCCCATTGGTTCTGTGTCCTTGGGCGGTGCTTAACCTCCCAGTGTCTAATGAGTCACTAGGAGGATTGAATGAGCTAATGAGTGTAAAGCACTTAGCATGGTGCCTGGCTCAGAGTAAGCACTCGGGTAATTTACGAAGAAAAGAACCTTATCAATTACTCAAACCCTGTGTATACCACTTTACATATATTTTCTTAATTAATCCTTGGTGAATTATGTGTTATTCTCCCTTTTTTTATAGGTGAAGAAACAGATTCAGAGATTTGGTGACTGCCGAGTTCGCTCAGTCTGTGTGTAGAGATTAGGGTTCAGGTCTATCTGACTCCAAAGCCAGTGCTTTTACTACCCCCCATGCTGCCTTCCAGAACAACTCTGACCCCTCTTCACATATTTTGAGATTTTTGTCATGTTCTTGAGTTTTTCCCGTCTCCAGGCTTTTTCTTTCTCTGGACCCCCAAATACCTCATGGCATGATCTTAAAGCCATTTACAGGCCTCTGGACTGTTTGGTTGTCCAGGTCTCACTTGAGCTGTGGGGCTGTTGCTCAGGGGAGGGTGTGCACAGTAGCCAGAGAGCGTGCACGGCCTGTGTGCCTCTCCTGCAGTGACCACCAGGCCTCGCAGGCAGAACTGGTCCTTGTCAGGTACCCAGCCAGTCTTGGTGGTAAGACATGTTGTCTGTGAAAGGCTAGCCTCTGAGACTGTCAATCAATGACTGAAATTTTCAGTTTTCTTTTCTTCTTCCTTTTATTTATTTATTTGTTTATTTACTTACTTACGGTTGTGTTGGTCTTGGTTGCTACATGCGGGCTTTCTCTAGTTGCGGCCAGCGGGAGCTACTCTTCACTGAGGTGCGCAGGCTTCTCATTGCGGTGGCTTCCCTTGTTGCAGAGCACAGGCTCTAGGCACATGGGCTCAGTAGTGGCTTGCGGACTCTAGAGCACAGGCTCAGTAGTTGTGGTGCACGGGCTTAGTTGCTCCACGGCATGTGGGATCTTCCCAGACCAGGGCTCGAACCCATGTCCCCTGCATTGGCAGGCAGATTCGTAACCACTGTGCCACCAGGGAAGTCCCTTCTTTCTTCTTATTTACATCTTAATAGACAACATCTCAGGAACCTTGATATGTGCTCCATAGTGAGTACTGAGACGAACTTTAAATCTATAAAATTGTGACCACTTGGTTGTGTAGGTGAAACAAATCCAGCATCTGGTTGTTCGGGACTCTTAGATTAGACTGTTCTTACTTAGCCTTGACAGTGGTGCTAATCCATGTTCCCTTGGACTAGCATTGATCCTAAGTGCTTATTGAGCTGGTTTCAGGAGCCCTTAGAGGTAGCCAGAACCCTGGAATGTGCATATGTTCAATGGTAAAATAAATGCTAACATTTGGACTTTCCTGCTGTAGAATCTGTTCGAAACACCCCCAGCACTGACACCATGCCAGCCTCCTCGTCTCAGACATGCTGTGCTGATCACCAGGATCCTGAAGGTGCTACCAGCTCCTCTTACTTGGCCAGCTCCCAAGAGGAAGATTCAGGCCAGAGTCTTCCTACAGCCCACGTTCGCCCTTCCCACCCACTGAAGAGCTTTGCTGTGCCAGCAATCCCTCCCCCAGGTCCTCCCACCTATGATCCAGCGTTGCCAAGCACACCATTACTATCCCAGCAAGGTGAGTGGGGACAGCAGCACCACTGGAGAGGCCCTTTGGCTCCGGCTTATGGCGCAAGCCACCTCTTCTTTGCAGAGGAACAAAGCAAATGTCCTCCAAGCTTATCCCTGCAATTTAGTGTTGCAGGGTGCATTGCCCCTCTCAGGGAGTGTAAGGGCTCCTCCTTTGGGAACATATATAAACCAGAGAATAATTTGGCGGGGAGCAAGGGCTGATTTTCTGAATTGTGTTTTGGGTGCAGAGTCCTTGGCAGTAAAAGCCAGTGGCATGGGTATGAACAGCAGATGTGGTCTGCCCAGCCTCCTCCCAGAGTTGCCTCACTCCATAGGGTTCCTGCCAGCTGGAGAAGGGTCAGGGAGGCCAAGACTTGGAAACAAGCAAGAACCTTGGAGTGGAGGAATAACCCTGCAGAAGGAAAGTTAACTCCTCGAGTTCACCCAGCTCAGCAAAAGCCCTCTCACCTCCAAGGCGTGCTTTCTGCCTCCTACTCTTTCACATTTTTCTCTATTATGATGGTTTGTTTCAGAATAAATCACTGGTTTTCAAGCTTTCTGGTCTCAGGACGCTTTTTAACTCTTACAAGCTGTTGCAGCTGCACAAGAGCTTTTCTTCACATGGGTTGTACCTATCATGATTTACTATATTAGAAATCAAAACAGATTTTAAAACTATTCATTTAAAAATAGCAATAAATCTATCATGTTAAGATAAATAGCGTATTTTTCATGAAAAATAACTTCCATAATAAAAGAGTAGCATTGTCTTATATTTTTGCAGATCTCTTTAATGTCTGGCTTAATAGAAGACAGCTGGATTCTCACACCTGCTTCCGCATTTAATCTGTTGCAATATGTTGTTTTGGTTGAAGAAAATCTGGCCTCACAGATATGTAGTTGGAAAAGGGAAGATTATTTTTATAACCTTTAAAGACAACTGTGGATATTCTTTTTTGATACTACGGCAAACTCAACAAGTTGTAGTTTCTTATAGGTTTGTTTGTAATGTGGAATCAGAAACCATATAATTATTTGTACTCTGTTCCAATAAATCCATATATCTTGTACTTTGCGTGGTACTGAACATCACATGTTGGTCTTTGGAAAGTAATGGTTCACTAAGTTACACAGATCCTCCGAATTTTGATACATTTTGTTAAACAGTATCTAAAAATACATTCATTAATACCAGCAATGTCTGGAAGTATTGGGAAGCTCTCAAGCTCATGGTGGCAGATACAAGTTTTTCAAAATTCTGATTTTTCACTTTAAACTTAAATTTTATCATTGAAAATAAATACTGTCCGTTGTTTTCCCTGAAGTGACTGACTTTACTTCATTCACTTTCTAGAAAATATCTGCCAAATGCTCAAGTCTGAATAACCGGTTTGTGTGTCAGTCTTTCTCTGACCTAACATTGATGTTTCGTGATGAAAGCAGCAGTTCAGCTCACAACTCAATTACAAGTCCCTTTATTGAAGACAGCTATTATGCTTTGGTGTACAGCAGAAGTATTTTACCCATATTTCCATTTTAGAATATTTAAAAGATGTGTAATCAAGGTTGAGATTTCATAACATAATTTTTGCTACTTCATTAACGATGATCTTAAACTGGCTCTTTTTAAACTTGCAAGTATGCATGTCCGTGAATGACTTTACAGGTTGGTGCCACTGCCTTAATTTGTGCTAAGGCTCCAGCAGTTTTACCCACTGTTGCTTTTGTACCATTGGTGGAAGGGCAAAAACTGTCTTGGCATTATTATGAAAAGAGTTTTGACCTCCCAGATATCCTGCCAGGGGCCCTTGGGCCACCACACTTTGAGAGCAACTGGACTAGGAGATGAGCTTTCTAAAGCCAAATGGAACATTTGGCCTCTTGGATGCCCTGCTTTCTCCCTCCTGCCATCTTGTTCCAGGGCCTTTTCAGAGCAGGATCTCTGCCCTGGGTCTGGGTGCATCCCTCACCCTTAGCAGCCTTTGGACCTTGGGTACCTTCGTGAGGTCTGGGGGAGCAAGCTCAGCCACACACCTGATGGTGCCCTTTCCCCCTCAGCTCTAAACCATCACATTCACGCGGTGAAGACGGCCTCCATTGGGACTTTAGGAAGGAGCCGGCCTCCTATGCCAGTGGTGGTTCCCAGTGCCCCTGAAGTGCAGGAGACCACAAGGATGCTGGAAGACTCCGAGAGTGTGAGTTCGCAGGGCCACCAGCCCCGCCAGGATGACTAGGTGCATGTCCCAAGGCCTGAGAGTGCGCTGGGCACGCTGATACTCTGTGCTGGCCCAGAAGTGTGAGGCAGAGTCGCTCACTCACTCATCAGGCGAGCACTGAGCAGCTCCTGTGAACTGGGGCTGTGCTGAGGGTTTGATCTGCTTGGATTAGCTTGTCACACCAGCCCACCCACCTGCCTTCCTTTTAACTGTGTCCTGTCTCTCTGGTCCTCTTGTCTTGGTTTGAACCATCCACGTGTTCTTTTTCCCCTTAGTCCCCCTTCATGACCTTTCCTGAGCAGCATGCTGGAGAGGAACGTGCCTGCATGGTTGCTGTCAAAACAAAAATCAACAGGGTCTCTCCTTGATCTTTCACTCCCACATTCCAATAAGTATGTTCTGCCTCTGCATTTCCAGGTACAGGACGCTCTTAGGAGGAGAGCTTGGGGCCCAGAGATACAGGGGACATACCAACTGTGTTGGGTCCGACAGAGACTAGAAGGGACGAGTGAGGTCCTCGTGACCCTGGCAGTGTGGGTTGGAGGAAAGGCATTCTGCAGTGGAAAGAAATGAGTGGTTGCTGGCTTGGGCACATCCTACAACCTCTGATGCTGCTGGGCCAGCAGGGGCGTGGGTGGTCCAGTCTCTTAGGCAGTGTTGTCACTGACCACTTGACGCTTTGACGTCTCTCTGTGGGCCCTCCTTCTGGACGGCTGCTTGGACTGTGCCTGGTAACTGTTCTCTTTTCTGTAGAGCTATGAACCAGATGAGCTGACCAAAGAGATGGCCCACCTGGAAGGACTGATGAAGGACCTAAATGCCATCACGACAGCATGACGACCTTGACCGGGACGTGACTCCAGACCTGAGTCTAGAAGTCTTGGGACTTAGCCTTGAAAACAAGGAGTTGTACAGAGCACGAGAGGACAGCACTTGAAAACAGAGTGAGCAAGCCGCCCGGCCAGCACCCCCGCGTGGGGCCAGCTCCAGGCCTGGCCGCCTGCCTTCTCCTGGCCGGCCTGGAAGACACCGTGTCAAGGCAGCTTCCCTTTGCCTGCCGATACCCTGCAGGACTGGGCACCATGGGCCAAAATTTTGTGTCCAGGGAAGAGGCAAGAAGTGCAACCTCTGTTTCACTTTGTGGTCAGGCTGTGTCTTCATGCTGCGACGGCATCGCCTTTATGGAGTGTAGACGTTGGCATTTATGTACAATTTTATTTGTGTCCTATTTTATTTTACCTTCAAAAGAAAAACACTATCAAAAACCAAGGAAGTCTGTGGTGTTCTCCACAAGTGGTTGACGTTTGACTACTTGTTTGAATTATGTATGGAAAGTCATTGACAGTGTGGGTTGTTCCAGGGGTTGGCTTGTTTTGTGTTTTTATTTTTGATTCTGAGTCATTGCATCCTCTACCAGCTGTTAATCCATCACTTTGAGAGGGGGGAGGAACTGTTGCATTGCTGTTTGTAAGCTTTTTTATTTTTTTTATTATAATTATTAAAGGCCTGACTTTCTCCTCTCATCACTGTGAGATTACAGATCTATCTGAATGAAATGTAACATTGAAAAGACTTGTTTGTTGCTTTCTGTGCAGTTGCAGTATTGGGGTGGGGGGCGTTGGGGGGGTTGGGAACTGGAAATGGAGGGGCTGCTGAGGTCCTGTGAATGTTTCAGTCATTGTACTTCCTTCCAGAAGCCTGCAGAGAATGGAAGCATCTTCTTTATTGTCCTGGCATGTCCATCTCTATTGTCACTAAGTTGCAACTGGAGTTTCATTTGGATCTAGTTAAAAATTTCTTCTGTGCAATAGGTGGGTTCGAGGATGTAGCTGCCCTGGTGTCTTGGTCATATCCTGATAAGAATGTCCACGCTGAGGAGTCAGGCGCTGTATTGCAGGAGTGATGGCAGGACAGGGCACGAGCCTGGCCGAGTTCCTGGGAAATCGGAGAAGAGGTTAGAGACCCTTTCCTGCTGTTACCATGTGTCCCCTTCGGGGAAGTCGGAGGTTAAGGAGGGAACTTTGTTCCCATGTAGGACTCCTTGCTTCTCCCTAGTTCCTGTCCTCAGCCAGTCCAGCTCTCACTTCCACGCCTCAGAGCCCCACGGGGGAGGCGTTAGCAAGAATGAAGCAGGCAGGGACTGCAGCACCAGTGAGGCTCCCCACTTCTTTCTGAACACTGTTCTGTACGTAGCGGGGGACGGGGACAGTGGCCTCCCCAACTCCTACACACCATCCCAGCAGCTCAGCTAAGCCCCTGATTTGAACAGGGCAGCAGGAGGTCTCTGAGGTGTGCTGAGAGGCTGACCACACAAGAAGCCTTTGCCTTTGCAGGAGGTTCTTGTATGCTTTTTCTTAAAAATGTAAGGAGCTGAGATTTTTCTCTTTGTTTAATATAAAGAATCTCTTAAGAATACAGGACTGACCCTCAGGCATCTTCCCCTACTCCCCAACAAACCCCCAGAAGAGAGTGTGGAAGGCAGTGCGGAAGGCGGATTGCGCTTTGGTTCTGTAGCCAAGAAGAGGCCAGCTGCTGAGGACATCAGTGGGCGCTCGGACCCGCCTGCCCCGGGGCCTGCGCTCTGCCCCGGCCACACGGGCCCCACTTGCCTTTGTACCTTGGTTATTTCCCCTATTTCGGTCTTACCACACAGTTACTTTTCTAGAAGATGAACTCTGTTTCTCAATTGGGGGCAATGAAAAGTGCAATGCTGGAACTCCTGCTGCCCTGCTAGCTGGTCACGGAGAATAGTGCCAGGCCGGATTCTGGAAACCCAGTGCACTTAAACTGATCCTGAAAAGAGCACTCAGAGCACTCTGGACACCAGGAGGGCTAGATTCCCCAGAAACTGTCTTACCTTTTGTCCAAAGAAACATGCTCGGTATTCGGGGCATTCCCTCCCATGAACCCTGATACTTTGGTTACCTCAGGGCTTTGGTACCTGGATACTGCCACAGAACTGGGGTGGGGGGAGGGGCCTATTTTTAAATAACTGTTCAAAGTTGGGGGATTTTTTTAAATTAAGAAAAAAAAGTTATTCTGTATTGCACCTTTTCACAGTTTAATACATTTTCTTACATTTTCCTGTGATTTTTGAAATTAAACCATTGTGTGTCTTGTAATGTCCTAGTTGAGCTGCTGACCAGCAGCTTCCTTCAGGAGGATTTGGAGCAAATGTGTCTGTTGCCTTGTCACCTGCTGGAAGGGGACCTGGAGGGCTGCTGGGGACTAGTTTCTGTACACACTTGTTTGGCCTTTTCTGTAGTTGATGCTGTAAACTCTATGGCTTTTTGAAAAACAATTTCATGTTTTTATTTAGTATTGGAAATCCAATACACTTTTTTAAATCCAATCAAACTCTGGTCTGGACAAAGTGTTATTTTCCTTTTTCCCTAGGAAAACAGAACTTCGGGGTCCCGTTTCCCATCCTCAAGTGGACTTCACCATTGCCCTCATCACTGTAAAGGCAGGAGTTCGGAGGGGCACCCAGGGCGGTGTAGCGGGTGAGCCAGGTGGTGATCTGGGTGTCCTCCAGCCCCAAAGACGAGCCTTGTCCCTGTCCCCACCCCCATGACCATTGCTCCCCTGCAGGGACTGAGAGCCCGAAGGATCAAAGATGACGCCTGTCAGAAAGAGCCAGGTGCCCCCCACCCCCGCCGCCCCAGGCAAAAAAGCGCAGCCGTTCCTGAATGGTGTGCGGGCCGCGTCCCTGCTGTGGCAGCGTCCTGCGCAGCAGCTCGTACTGTTGGCGCACAGCCTGGGACCCACGCTAGGCCCGGGGCCTCCCCGCCCCCGCCTCGCACAGGTGTGTGATGCCAAGAGCCGGTGTCTGCAAGGAGCCCCACCTTTCCCAGGCTGTTTCAACTTCTGACTGCATTCACTGTGTCTCAGCTTGGGCTTTATGACAAAAATATCATAGACTAGGGGGCTTAAACAGCGAACTCTTATTTTCTCACAGCTCTGGAGGCTTGGAAGTCCAAAATCAAGGAAAGGGCGGATGTCAGGTGAGGACCCACCTCCTGGTTTATAGATGCTGTCTTCTCACTGTGTCTCATGTGGCAGATGGGTGAGAGAATTCTCTGAGGTCTCTTTTACCAGGGCACTAATCCCACTGTGGGCTCCACCCTCATCGCCTAATAATCACCTTCAAATACCATTACACTGGGGATTAGGATTTCAACATGCGAATTTGGAGAGAGACAAACATTCGGTCCATAACACTCTGTAAGATTTCTCACAGTGTATGAGAGTCTGGGCTCAGAATAGTGAGTGGGGAGCACAGCAGCCACAGGCCTGCCCTCCATGAACGTGGAGTAGCGTGAGGGCTGGATACAGAGCCCAGCCTCCTTACTAACTGCTCCCTCGGCCCCAGGACTTCGTCTGCTCTGCGGCCATGTACTTTATGAAACCCAAATCCCATCATTCCCATTAGCCATGCCCCATTGGCCTCAGGGTGGAGTCAGAGGTCCCAGTGCCAGAGCCTGTGCCAGTCTGCCGCAGCCCCAGGCCAGACGCTGTCACCTTGTGTACCCAGTGTCTAGCAGAGGAAGGTAACCTGGGACACGCTTTTCAGTCTTTGCATCTGGAACACCACTACCCCCGTGTTCTAACAGCCAGAGAACCGGTGGGGACCCTCCTCTGCATCCCTAGATGGAGCTCTTTACAGTGATTTATGTTTTGAGTCTTTTTCCACTGGACTGTGGACTCTGGAGACACAATTTCTCACTCCTCTCTGAAGGCCTAATGCCAAGGGCAGATTCTGACAATAGCAGGTGCTTGTCTCCCAGAAGGATGGATAGACAGGCAAGAGGACTCAGGGCCTGGAGTGTGTGGGAAGGCTTCCCGTATACACACACCCCCTCCCGCTCCCTTAGAGGGATCCTTGTAGGTCCCTAGTGTTAACTGGTGCCAGGACCCTCCCATTCCAGCAGCCATGGCCCTTTGGTGTCCTGGGGTGAACTTGAAAGATAACAAAGACCTGTCTGCCTGGCACAGTTACAAGTTATAAGAAATGAGGCTGATACCACAATGATGAACTGGGTGCAAGGTTGTCCTCCAGTTGGTTCTAAGACAAACACTGTGAACAAGGCTCTATATGAAGAAGAAATGCCCTCTTTCCCCAGTCTATCAGCCCCTCCCAAATTTAGACACCTTCCTGCCAGGGGTGTTGTGTCATCAGGAGAGACTGGAGAACAGCACTGAACCAGCTGTCAGACTGATGGGGAGGGGGCAGGGGGCGGAAAAGCAGGGCCAGCCCTACCCATAGACAAGGGGCCTCAGACAGGAGGTGCCTGACTCTTCACCTTGGGTCTCCAGCTACCAAAGGAGAGAGTTCACCAGGGAGGGGTAGAGGGGACGAGGTGGGAGAGAGTAATTCAAGGAGATAGTACTTTACATTTTCCATAATCTTGAAAAAATGTTATCTGTGACTACAATTACTACTCTCTGGGCACAGCGGATAATGTGCATCCCAAGATGCTCTTTTACTCAACTATGGATTGGATGGGTTTGCGAAATGGAAACACGGGCCTAGAGCTAAGCTCAGAAGGGGTGAGAGGGAGCTCTTGCTGTGCTATAGTGAGAAGAATTTGGAATTTCCTGAAATAATTGGGGGTGGGGAGGCAGCGGGTATATCAACAAGAAGATGAGAGAATGAGGGGCAGGTGGGAGGATGCCCACAGTGGGAAGAGGCGGCCCTTAAGATGCCCCAAAGAATGTTTTGAAATGAGAAGATCTGAGAGGTAATTTAGTGCAGTTTGCTCTTTGCACCTCCATGACGTAAACCCATCCAACTCCCCAAGTCTTGTATAACGTCTGCCATGTGCACAAGGCCTTGCACAAATTACTGGCTTTCTCCCTTCAAAGAAAGGGGCATCTGGGTCGACGTGGTGATGGATAGACCACAAGTCTGGCATGGTGATTGAGGGTGACCAAAAATGGGGTTGGCTCAGAGCCAGAAGTGACCAGAAGAGTTTAAACCTGAGAGTTCGCAGAAATCAGGGGGCACAGGAGGGCACAAGACCTTTCCCACGTCAAGGTATGAGAATCCCAATCCGCCTTATCTAGGTTTAAATAGGCAGACTGACCGCAGCTGGTGTCTGGGTTGCAGTCATCTTACATTTCCACACCCTCCACCTCAGTGTCCTGGAACAAAGCTCCATCACTCCATCATAGGTGTGCACACAGGTGCCTGCCCCTCATTAGTGGCTCTACCTTTGTGGAGCTGGTCTCCCCAAGGAGAATTCTGGGAGCCATTGTAAACTCTTCCCTCAACACCACAGTACATGGCTCGGCAAACCCTGCAGCGCTCTCTCAAATGTCTCCAAACTGGCTCCTGTTGGTCTCTATTGGGCAAACTCCTCATCGACCCATCCCCCCACCTCAGCCTCAATGGCAATCCAGCCTCCACACGATTTGATTTTTCTTTCTTTCTTTTTTTTTTTTAAATAACACATCATTTATTTATTGCATGAGTTTGGCAAACAGCACAAAACTTCAGCAACATTTTAAACGTAAAAAAGTCAAAGGCTGAACAGTACTGGAAATCTGTTTTTACATAATTAGTTACAATGCGTACACAGGTAGGGTTCTGCAAAGCTAACAAAATACCAAGGATGGCTTAGCTTCTGAACATATACCACAAAAACACACACAAAAGCAATATAATTTACCTTTACAAAAATTACAGCCAAGCAATAAAAAAGGATGTTAATAACAAAGATACTAACACGTATGTTCGCTACGTATATGTTATACATTGAAATGCTACACCTTGTACCCTGAAATGCCATGTGTAGAAAGCCAGGCAGAGTAAATTTAGGCTCATCACTGAGGTTAAGAATTATCTGAGAATTTAATGCTTGTATGTAACATACTCAATTGAAACTTGCTATATACCAATTCCTAGATCACAACAACGCATTTCACTATATATCTGAGAAGCTGAGTCTTCTTTGTTGGCAGTGTAAAATTTTTGACCAGTGTCAAAATTCTGGTAAAATACACATTGAAGACATTTTCTAGTGTATGCAATGTTTGGGGGCATTAAAGAATGTGGGAGAAATTCTTAGATTTCACACTAAGTTTCTGCTGAGCTTTGTCAAACCAAACAGCTCAACTATAAGGCAAGAAAAATTAACCCCCCTATAACAGATTAGTGGGTCTTAACCAAATAAAGATAAGAATTCAACCTTAGGAAAAAACTCCCTACATAAGCAGATCTGAAACAGTGGGCACTAAAATGAACATCTAAAAATTACCTAACATCTTGATATTCAGTCATTGGTTCAGAAGCCTGACAATTTTTTGGTATATTTTATCTAATTAATGTTTTAGAATCAGCACCAGTCCCCAAAACCTCAAATTGTAATATTTAATCTTCATTAAAATACATCCTTTTGTGCTGTATTAACACTACAATCAAAGCTGAATTTACTCAACTTATTATATATTTTTGTGTACACTGGTAGGAACTTAAATTTTTTTATTTACTTGTGTTTCTGTTTTGGGGCACTTTGACTGAAGAGAAACTTATTTCACAGGATTACATCTTGCTAAAGCATTCCTCAGCATTGGTCCAAACTTCAATTCCCTTTTTGCATATACTGATCTGCATGACTGCATAGCTTATGAGGGCCTCCTTTAAATCACGGTTCTTTTGTTCTTTGAAGTGTTCAACATCAGCCCAAGCATTTCTGACAAATTCTCTGCCTTCCAGATTTTTAGAGTTAAGTTCTCCTTCATTTATTTGTTCTTCTAGCACCTTTATTCTGGCGTCTCTCTGCTCTGGAGTTTCTTGACCAAAGAGCTTGGTAGTCATTCCCTTCAAAGAAAATGTTCTCAGGGTCCCAGGTGCCAGTTCGTCACACCGCTGCTTCTTGGATGCTAAGTCCTGAGCAGCCATCTCCAAGTCATACTGCATAAGTTCATGTTTCCTGCACACAGCCCGCATTTTATGCATGGCTTCTGCATA